GAGAGGGAGAGGGAGAGAGAGGGCATGCAAGGGGCAGGCTCCAGACACTGTTGAACTCAGGAGAACAATCTGAGAAGCTTATGGGAACATGATAGGAAATTATGTTGGGGGTCATGGTGTGTGAAGTGCCATGATGGTGTGTGGACAAGAAGTGGGGTTGGGAGTGCTGGGCCAACCTGATCCAGAAGCTGAAACCCTGACATAGTGAAGGCTTACAGCCTTCAACAGAAAGCAACTCACTCTTCCTATGAGTTGAAGGGACAAAGGTATAGGCTCATCTCTCTGAAAGTCTGTTCACTGAAAGGCTAGTTTGATGGGTCACAGTGGTTCTGCAAAAATCTCTCTCTCCATCCTTCAGTCCACCCATCTATCCATCCAGCTAGCCACTTGGTATACACTCAGAGGTTCTTAGAGAACAGGCTGAGCTGAATGGACAAGTCTATCTCTCTTTTAGCACCTTCAGTTGAAGGAGTGATTCTATAGTCCCTCCCTAGAGCTGCTCACAGTGGTGCTGAGGTAGTAGCAAGGTGGGTAATGCCCTTCTTTTCATAGATCAAGAGGTTTTCAGAGTAAGAACACAGCTGAGGCTGGTCATGGCATGGTGCTGAGCTGACCCCAAAGACTGACATCTAGCTCTCCTCCCACAATCCCTGGCTCTGTGGGGATCCGGACTGACCTCTGTGGCCAGCCCACCTTGCCACTTTTCACACTAGTGTGGGCTTTATATCATCCTTGAAGTTCACAACGGGCTTGGAGCTGGCCCACAGCCTTTCCCAGGAGGCCAATCCTGAAGCTTGTTCTAGGTCACTGTCTGAAGTGTCACTGTCATTGGAGTCCAAAGAGCTCTGGAAGCAGATTTCACAGTAGGGCCTGTGGCAGCGGCAGAAGAACTCGTCTGAGCTGCTGGACTCACTGTCAAGGTTGTAGCACCCAGAAGACAAGGAAGGACAGCCAGGGGACAGACGGGGTCGAGGCTGACGCTGCCTGGGCAGAGCTGGTGAAGAGGGTAGGCATGGGGCTGTGGGACTTTGTGCCTGGGCAGAAGCAGAAGGTTGGCAAGGAAAAGCTACATCGCATCCTCTGGCCTCCTGAGGCTCCGTCCCGCACTGTTTGTTACCCTCCAGGGTACCGGGTCTCTGGTGAGGTCCTGAGAGTGGTGATGGTTTTACAGAAGAGGACCTTGGTACCTTGGACCTTGCATTGTGATGGTCCGGCTTGGGGCTGTCTCTGTTCTGTACAATAAGCCCACTTTGTGCAGTAGAAACGGCTCTATTTCCTTGATGACCCACATTGAGGCCCGCAGAGCCAAGGATGTGGGAGCGAGCCCGCTGGGCCGCCCGTCTCCTCCTCACCACATACGGACTGAAGCCCAGTTTAGATGGGGACAGCTTCTGGAGGCTGTGGGAAGTGGTATTCTTCCAGAGCTGCTGGGGACAAGGCAGTGGGGAAAGGGGAACTTCGGAGCCTAGGTCCAGCTCTTGGAGAACTTCCTGAAGCTTCTCTCTGACCACTGAACTGACTCGAGGTAGCCTCTCTGGGAGTACCTCTGAGTTCTGCCTGGGCTTATGGGGTTCACAGGCCACTCTATCTGCCATTAAACTCTGGCTGGAAACCATGGGTTCCTGGCCTCCTCTTTCAGGACCCTCGCTTTGTTCAGCCTTTGGCTTCTGGCTGCAACCCATGTCTAAACAATCACTAAACTGTTTCAAAGGCATGTTGTTTTTCTGGTTTGGGGAGGGACTGGTGTCCCTTCTCGATGCCCCTGAGCCTTTCGTGTGCTGAGAGGTCACTGAGGCAGGTAGGGAGTCCTTAGCAGCTTCTAGGCTCTCATTCTCAGAAGCAGCAGGGCATTCTGAAGGTTCCTGAAGTGCCAGCCCACGGGCAGAGGCTGCAGCTGGGACAGCCCACTCTGGGGAGTCATAGGTGCACTCCGCAGACATCAGCTTCACCAGCTTTTCCTTGGCGTTACTGACTTGTTCTTGCAGGCTTTCAATGACTGCGTTTTTCTGCGCAAGAAAAGCAAGACCATTAACAAAAGATACTGTTAAGGGTTGCCCAAAGCCTTCCATGGTGGAGAGTTGTGGCATTGGAGACCCTGGCTTAAATCCCAGCTCTTCCAGTGCACTGGATGGTGGCTTCAAGCTCGGACGTGGGACTTGTGCCAGCTGAAAGGATGCATGCCATGTGTTTAGCACAGTAACTGGTATGTGGTGCCCAGGAAAGGCTCTAAGATGTAGTCACTACGGAATCCCTCTCCCCTTCCCAACCCTAGACCATGCACTGCTGTCTGTGAGGAAGAAGGTGGTCTAGCCTCAAGGCTTGCTGGTAGTATCACTGTTTCTCATCTTCCCCAACCCCAAGAGGGTCAGGTTCCTCTGTGTGATGTCAATCTGAATAGCGTTGGAGATTATCCAACTCTGGGTTCTCACACAGAACAAACAGAAAACAGTCTGGAACACAGAAAGGGTAGAGAGAAGAAAGGTGGGAATTCCTGGGACAACCATTCATTCATCCTGGAACTAAGAAGAACCCATGAGAATCTCAAGTTGGTTTCAATACTTCATTGGAAGTGTCAAGGCCTCCTGGTGTGATATATCTAAGTGACTAACTGGCTATCAGTAGCTCTTAAAGAAGTGTGTGTGCCAGGATTATTGTAGCTTAACACAAAATAAAAGCAAGAACGGCAAGTGGTATTACATCAAGGTACAACTCTACTGAACAGCACAGAAGACAAAATGACCAATAGAATCAGAGGAGATGTTTGTTATCAATTCATCTTCAGAGGATCAATGTGCAGCATACATGAAGAGCTAAGAAAAAAACCCTCAAGAATATGGAGTTAAGAAATCAATTTTAGGGGGGCTGGAGAGATGGCTCAGTGGTTAAGAGCACTGACTGCTCTTCCAGAGGTCCTGAGTTCAATTCCCAGCAACCACATGGTGGCTCACAACCATCTGTAATGGGATCTGATGCCCTCTTCTGGTATGTCTGAAAACAGCTACAATGTACTCATGTAATAAAATGATTAAAAAAAAAAAAAAAAAAAAAAAAAAAAGAAATCAATTTTAGAATGGGTGGATGATCTAAATAGGGACTTCTCAAAAAAGAAATTCAAGTGGTCAGTAAATGTATGCAAAGATACTTGACATCTTTAGCCATAAGGGAAATACAAAAAATCAAGATCACACGAGAATTTACCTTATCTAGTTGGGATGTCTATAACTAAAAATGCAGGTGAGGGTGAGGAGCACAGAGCCATTATCCAGTGCTGGATATGGAATTAGTCCAGCCACTATAGAAACCAGCATGGAGACTGTTCAAAAAACCAAAAATGGAACTACCATGTGATTCAGCTATCTCCATCCTGTGTAGATAGCTATCCAAAGGAAATGAAATCAGCATGAAGAACTATCCTTCAGCCCATATTTGTTACAGCACTGTCTATGAAACACAAAAGATAGAACCAGCTGAGGTGCCCATCCACAGATGATTTGTTAAAGAAAATACACTATATATCAATAGAGTATTATTCATCTATGAAGAAGAATGAAATCCTGTCATTTGCAGAAAAATGGGTGGAATTTTTAGATATCATGTTACGTGAAATAAGCCAGTCAAATATTACAGTCTTTTTTTCCTCATGTGTAAATTAAAAAAAAAAAAAACAATGACCGAAAAGTGTGAAGGGGACCGTAAGGAAGTGGGGGATAGTGGGGGAGAGACGTAAGATGGAGGAGAGGGTACAGGGAGCTAAGATCAATGCATACTGTGTGCATGTGTGGAAATATCACATTCAGTCCCATTAATTTCCAAATATGCGATAATATGAAAACATAATTACTATAGAAGCTTAAAGCAGATAGTTTGATTAAGGGGCTCTGGAGTGCAATCCAGAAGATGAAAGAGGCTGGGGCAGTTCTGCTCTCAAGATACTGTCCGTCTGTGCAGAAGTTAGTCAGGATAAACAGGCTGTGCCCCAGAGGGCAGACAGGTGACAGCTGCAGAAGTGTGCCTGTCCCAGCTGTGGGGCAGGAAGTGGATGTGGGTGTGAGCTGGTGGTGGGTGTCTGGGCATGCCTGCACTCTCGCCTTTGTGGAGTGCGGCAGTGAGCTGCCTAGCCCAGACTGTGTGTCTTCCTTTGGAGAGTTCTATGTTCAACTCAGAGGGGCAGTGACTGAGTCTCACGAGGGATGGGTGGTCTGGCTTGGATGAAATGGACTATGGTGGAGGTGGGAAGCATTGAGCTCCAACAAGGGCTTGTCTGGATAACACAGTACTGCCCTCGTGGCTGCTTTCTCTTTTAGGAGCCAGTGATCTGGACTGAGACACCCCTTTATCATGCCCTAAGAAGCAAAGGAGTGGGCGCTGTCTTACAATACTAAACAATCCAGCCTGCCCATGGGCTGAGTCTATGTATGTCTACTTACATATAAAAGTTGGTCAGAAAGGATTCTGTTTGGTTTTGAGACAGGGTCTCACATTGTACCCCAGCTGGTCAAGAACTCACTATATAGCACAAGCTGGCCCAGATTCATGGCAGTCCTCCTGCTTTGATATCTCAAGCATTAAGATAACAGGCATGTGCCACTACACCTGGTCAGAAATGATTACTTAAGGTGTATTGAGTGGAACCTTCCGATAAACTTGCAGTGACCCTGTAAATCCTCCGTCCCTGTGTAAAGTCAGGAGGTGGTGTTTACTGGTGCTGACTCTCCTGGTTTCCCAGATGGTTTAGTCATCTTCACTGCCATCAGAAGAGGGGCCAAGCCCTGTGAGAGACTACAGAAGCAAGTGGAAGGGACTTTCAAGGGGTGTTCCCAACTGCCAGGTCTCCCTCTCCTTTCCTGAGGCGTGGTAGGCCTGGCTATGGTTGAGTGAGTAGCACATTCAATGGAGTCCGTGAGTGACAGGGACGTGAGTGACCCGGGGACACTCAGGTTCCTCGGCTATGAGAGACGTGTCCAATGTCTTTAGGGACCTCACAGGGTAACTAACCATGATCACTGCTCATTAAGGACTTGACCCCTTTCTTCTTCCCTCGACACTCACTCCTAAAACCCACCCTGGATGTCCTTATGTCAGCCTCAGCAAGTGGGGGGAGGGGCAGAAGGGGGGAGCCATAGCCATGTTTTAGGGCAGTGGCTCTCAAATCTCCTAATGCTGCCACCCTTTAGTAAGTTCCTCATGATGTGGTGACTCTCCCAACTGTAAAATTATTATTTTTGCTACTTTATAACTGTAATTTTGCTACCATTACGAATCATAATGTAAATATCTGATATGTGACCCTGTGGGGGTTGCAGCCCACAGCTGCTCTAGGGGTCAAACAGGATTTCTGTTTCCTTATGCTCTGTCTACAAAGGGCTTTGAATATAGGAAAATCTTATGAACCTCCAGATGGGACGAACATCTTTCTTCAAGCTTGACAAACACCTGAAGCTGGCTGACTACAGATTTAGAAACATCAACATCAACAGTCAACTTCCTTTCTTCCACAAAAGGAAGCAAGACTCTTTTCACTGAGGTTCCATGTTAATTAGAGGCATGGTGTGAGGTCCTGCCACAGACCAAACTCTGACCTCCTGGGGCAGCAGCTTTTAAATGAATTTTTAAATCATTATCTTGGTCCCTGGTGGGCAGCAAAATGTCAGAGGTATATTGAAGAGGGCACAGGCCCTAGGAGTGAATGTCCCTCTTCTCTAGTGCCAGAAAGAAAGAGAGCTGGCAGGATTGTTGCAAACCATGGAAGGGAGCGTCATCAGCGCAAGGAGACAGTCTGTTCACTGTTCTGTGCACAGTGAGAGGTCAATGGCAGATGCTGTTCTTAACTACATCCAGAGCAAGAGGTCAAGAATGAGAAAAGCTGGTTGTGGAGGTGCAACCCTATAATCCTAGTACTTGGGGAACTGAGGCCAGAGGATCACAGTTTGACCGCAGCCTGGGCTACATAGACACTCACAAAAACAAGAAAAAAAATACCCACAAAAACAAATGAGAAACTGAGCCATCAGATCTTGGGAATTGCAAAGTGGATCCAGTGAGCTCAGCCCAAACCCCAGCTGGACAGGCACTATCCTATGTAAGGAAGGCGGGGCTGACTCCCAGGATGCAGAGCAAACCAGGACTAGCTGCAGGCTCTCAGGCCTGCTCTACAGAAGATGCTCAGGCACAGCTAGGGCAACAGAGGCACCTTTTTGCTGCGTATGTACTTCAGCCTGCTAAGGACTTTTGCCACACAGACTCAAGGTTTCTTTTCGAAAGAGCACATTCAGCCGAAGCGTGGGAAACAGAGTAGCACAACAGAAGTACAATAAGCCGCTCAAATAATTACCATACGGCTAAAGAGTCCGTTCCAGTCTGTTCGGCAGTTCCAGTGTTAGCTGATTGTAAATGAAAACCATCCTGCTGGTTCTAGCCAACTTTCAGGCCTTCTGTTTGTTAGGGAAAAACGTTTTTCTAAAGAATTTACAGAACACCAGAGGCAGGGCTACTCCCCTGCCAGGTGCAGAGAAATCTGGCTTTGAAATAATGTCCAGAACATTTAATAAATGGTGAAGAAAAGGAGAGGTCTGTTTTTTTCTCTGACCCAGAGTAGAGAGTATATTGTGTGTGTGTGGGGGGGGGGCAGGTAGAAAAGCAAGGCCCAGGGGTACTGGCCAGGTTTGGCCCTTCATCTGGGTGCTTCTAAGGTATTTTTCCCTCACTGTTCTCTCATAGGGCCATTCATGCCCAGGACACAGTCCCTCTATCTGCCGCCCCCCCCCCCCCCAAAAAAAAAAACAGTTTGGTTTCCCTAATAGCACAAACTCATTGTGATAGTTTGAATATGCTTGGCTCTGGGAGTGGCACTGTTGGGAGGTGTGGCCATGTTGAAGTAGGTGTGTCACTGTTGGCGGGGGTTTAAGACCCTCATCCTAGCTGCCTGGAAGCCAGTATTCTGCTAGCAGTCTTCAGATAAAGATGCAGAACTCTCAGCTCCTCCTGCACCATGCCTGCCCAGATACTGCCATGTTCCCGAATTGATGATAATGGACTGAACCTCTGAACCTGTAAGCCAGTTCAATTAAGTGTTGTCCTTTGTAAGACTTGCATTGGTCATGGTGTCTGTTCACAGCAGTAAAGCCCTAACTAAGACACTCAGGTATGTTCTGCCTCTGTGTGTACATATGTGAATATATATATATATATATGTATATGTATATATATATATATATACATATATATATATATATGATTTAATTAGTGTCAAAATACTTATTAATTCATTCACCTGGGCCCTGTGCTGCCCTGTCAATGGAGCACAGTCCTCAAGTTTGTCCGCATGTCCACTCTAGCCCACATTATGGTTGTCTGGGAGAGGGCCAATTCTGGTTCAAGTACATAATAAAGAAGGGCAGGGGCACCTAAGGTGCCTTGATACTGTGGTGACATTCAGAGACCCTTTGTTTACCCCCATCTGTAGCACATCTGGAAGTGCTGGGCAATGAGAAGGTTGAGGTCTCTGGTTAGTGCCCAGGGATGTCAGAGAGGCCCATCAATCAGATCTTGGATACAATGGCATGGCTGTTTGGAAGGAATGCTCACCCAGATCCTAATGTCCTTTGCGTTTTCCCTTTGCATGGCTGTTTTTTGAGCTCTTCTCTAATTGTCCTTCATTATTCTCCGTTGTTGAGTCTTGTCTCAGCAGTCGGCTGTGTCCCCTTCCCTCCTTCCCTGACCTTTATTCTCACCGCCCCCGAATGCTTCCTTCCTGATTCTCATCACAATCACATTTTTTTCTTTCTAGTTTTTGAGCTAGAACCCCATGTAGCCCAGACTGGCTTTGAACTCTCTGTGTAATCAAGCATGACCTTGAACTTCTGATTCTCTTGCTTTTCCTTCCTGCATGCCGGAACCATAGACAGGCGCCACCACTCCCAGTTTAGTGGTTATGGGAGGAAAGCCAGGGCTTGGTTTATGTATGCTAGGTAAGTATTCTGTTGGTTGACCTGCATCTCCAGCTCCTCCTATTCATCACAGGTTAAATGAAATGTTTACTTAATCGATAGCCATTTGTTCCACTTGACTGTGAACTCCCGAAGGTCAGGAAGAGAGTCTGGCTTGTTCATCAGCATGAAGCTCTGACTAGTCTCCACCTGTCTGATGCACAAGTGGGGTGAGCGAGGGTCACTGGGGTGATGGGAAGGTCTCACTTGCTGTTGGGTAAAGTGGAAGAGTGGCTGGGGTAGAGAATGTTGGCAAAAGAAACATGTGGGGTCATGAGATCATGAGAGGTCACGAGGGCGTGAGGGGTTACGAGGGCGTGAGGGGTCATGAGAACTTGAGGGACCACGAGGGCATGCTGGGCCGTGAGGACTTGTGGAATTGCTCCCACATGGCTGGAGATCTCACAGGGAGCCTGCTAGGCAAGGTGTGGCTTACTTCTGTGAGGAGCCTCTCCATGCAGCTCTTCTCATCCCTCAAGTGGCAGCTCTGGTCCTCATCGAACTGGCTGTGGAAGCTTTTGCTGGGAGTGCTGAAGTATTTGGCCATGTGTCTGATTGTTTGGTTTTCTCCTTCAAATGCCTTCCATTGCTTCAGCTGTTGGTAAAGAAGAACACATGTTATTTATTTAATTACACACCCAGAAACACTTCCCTTGCTCTTTCTCATAAATACCAAGGAATGACACTGTCACTGACACACCAAGGCACAAGCTGTTTACGCCTCAAAATGCCATTTGCTCTGCAGTATTCATAGACTGCGGTGACAGAAAATGTAGAGAATCTTCAGGTTTCATGCTTTACACATGCCTGAGAATAAGACAGAATATAATACAGGACAACCTCTCTGTTGTCAAAGTGTCAAAGGAAACCAGAGCAAGGACACGTCTAGAATGATATTCTAAAGCTCTCGTTGGGAGCAGAGTAAACATACATGAATGTGTCTATGAAGCTAATCTTAAGTCATCTTTCAGTTGTTGAGGAGTGCTGTGGTTTTTGTTGTTGTTGTTTTGTTTTTTTTGTTTTTTGTTTTTATTGAGAGCCCAGTTCATCACTGGAGGCTTTTCTAAGACCAGAGCACAAATAGAAACCAACTAATGTCAATAAAAACACAATGTCATCTCTGGCACATGGCCATATTTTCTGACAGGGAGAATGGATAGGAGCGTGACTTTTCCAAGGTCACACATCGCTTTTGACAGACCCACATCTGTAACTGGAACCACCACATCTTGGAGTCTCATCTAACTGACGAAGAGATAGATTGTTGGGGGGGTCCAAAAACTGTCCTTGGGGAGCAATCTGGGGAAATATGGTCTGGCCCACTTTGATAATAACAGAGGTGACCTAGAACATTCTCAGACAGGAGTCTGCTACAGAGTTGCTGGGACACTGTATCTACCTATTGAGTACTAATCATGTGAAGGACAAGGACTCCAGTGGTAGAGGCAGAGACCTTTTACCCTCTGTCTCAGCATCCCTTGTGGAGTCATCTTTGCAGGGATGCCCAAGGACTGGCCCAACACAGGCATAAGGTCATGTCAAGCCTTTGGGTTTATCTCCCCTGAGCTGGTGGTACCCTTTGACCGAAGCTCTCTAGTCCTTTTTGGTCCCTCCTTTCAGAAGGTCCTGGTCCTTGAGACATGACTGTATTTTCTGGGATAGCCATTAATTGATCCTTAAGGATCAAGGTAGTTTCTCCAAGGGACCAGCACATTCTTTTTGTTTCTGGCCTCTGGGTGCTATGGATGCTATAGACTGGGTTTTAGCTCTTCATAGCTTTTCCTTGTTTCTGGGTCCTTGGAACTTGTTGACTGTTACCTAAGATGGCAAATAGAATTTTGTAATGGTGATGTTAAGACTTGGGAATTATTCTGGATTATTCAAGTGGAGCCAGTATCATTACAAGAGTCCATATAAGAGAGGAGGAGCCAGTCAGTGGTGGTACATGCCTTTAATCTCTACATTCGTGAGGCTGAAGCAGGCAGATCTCTGTGAGTTCCAGGACAGCCAGGGCTACACAGAGAAACCTTGTCTCAAGAAATGAGAGGAGCTTGGGTGGAGAGAGGGCAGAAAGCTAGAGAAGAGGGTAAAGAAAGAGAAGGAAGGACAGCCATTAGGATGTCCCATCGCTGGGTCGGAAAGGGAAGGAAAGGCCTTAGAGAAGGCAAGTGGCCTTTAGAAACTAAAGCAGTTGAGAAGTGGAGTCCCCTCCTACCTTGACTGAAGAAAAAGCTGCAGATCTGTTGATACCTTGGTGTTAGTCAAATAAGACCCATTTTAAGTACTTGCCCTACAGAACTGAAAGATACTACATTTGTTTTGTTCAAAGCCACTGTTTAGAGCAGTCCCAGGAACTCCTGCGGGGTACTTGTGGCATCTGTAACAGGTCACACCATGCTCCTAGAAGCTCACTGAGCTGCAGAGGGATTCAGAAGATCCCAGTTTAGATCCCAGCACGGGGATGGTGGCTCACAACTGTCTGTCCAGTTCCAGGGGATCTCATATTCTGTTCAGGCCTCTATGGGCACCAATAATCCACATGGTACAAAGACATACATGCTGGACGAGACTTAAAGAGGGGGAAGGACTCTGTGCTTTGACACCTGTCCATAGTGGCTAAGATGTGACCAAAGGATACCTGAATAAATTAAGGTAGCTTTTCTTTACAGTTCTCCAGTCTTGTGGTCACTGGATAAAGGGGACAAGTCCTAAGTGTGTCATGGACATAGGGCAGGAAGAGCAAATGTCCTCGTGATTTTGCCTTTCAGAATAGAATGGAAGCGTGGGGGTGGGAGTGGGGGGATGGGCCACACTCAGGTCACAGAAGCAGGGGTTGGCTGACGGCTGGCGATGACCTCAGCGCTTGGCATCACGTACACCCAGGCATTTCCTGACAGCTTGTCTACAAGCTTCTTGGATCCCTTGCCTTACAGTCGCGGCAATCTGCTCTCTAGCGCCGCCTAGAGACCCTTCTGGGTCACAGCGGATCTGAAGGCTAGCCAGCTTGGGACTCAACTCCCTGCAGCTACCCTCCGATCCTCTCCCAGGTCCCCTAGGACACTCCCCTAATGTGCTCAGCTGTCTCAGGGCCCTGGGGACACAGTGCGAGTCTCACGAGGAAAGCCTTGCTTCTGCCAAACATCTTTGAGCCAGAGGACAAATCAATTTAGGGACAGACCTCGGTTATTTTTCTCTGGTGAAAAGAACTTAGAGCTTAAATACTGTGAGATACGGTTTAGTCTCATACCACACGATCAGTTCAAGTGGGAACAAAAAACCGACAGA